TTGAGTGGAGTGGTTTGAAGAGAGAAAAACTCTCCAATCAACACTATTCTAGCTGCCAGACGCCCCTCAACCACTCGGATTTACAATGTCACATGGTCCATTTTCTGCAAATGGTGCAGTAGATCTCAAGTTAATCTGGTTTCCCCATCCGTTGCTCAAATTTTAGAGTTCCTACAGGAGGGACTCGATAAGGGGTTGTTCCCCAATACGTTGAAAAGACAGGTAGCTGCCTTGACATCAGTTCTCGCTTGCGAGGGCCTCAGTTCTCTTTCACATCACCCACGCATAAAGTCCTTCCTCAGGGGGGCCACCAATCTACGTCCCCCAACAGTTCACTGTTATCCCACCTGGGACCTTAACAAGGTCCTTGTCTCCCTCACCAAAGAGCCTTTCGAACCCTTGAGGAAGTCAGGTCTTCAATTCCTAACATACAAGGTCGTTTTTCTTGTAGCGATCACTTCCGCTCGTCGCATATTGGAAATTGCAGCCTTGTCTGTCAGACAAGACCTCTGTGTTTTTCATGCAGATCAAGTGGTCCTTCGTCCTGATCCCACATTTATGCCCAAGGTCAATTCGGCTTTCCATAGAGCACAAGAGCTCATCCTTCCAAATTTTTGTCCTAGGCCGTCACATGCAACGGAAAGACAATGGCACAAGCTTGATGTAAGGCGCGCTCTGCGAATCTTCAGAAAATCGGAGGCCTTATTTGTTTCCTTTCAGCCCAATTGATAAGGTCACAAGGTATCACCATCCACAATTGGCCATTGGATAAGGGTGGCAATAGCTAAGTCATATCAGTCTCAAGCTCTGCAGGTGCAGAGGGGCATCACTGTTAGGGATAACATTGTTTTACCCTAACTGTTTTGGGTAAAGATAATAAAATGATGAATCATGGTTTGTCAGATAAAGTGTATGTGACTTTAAGCTAAAGGAATGTAATTAAGGGTGCAGCTGTAAAAGTACTATATAAGCAGCAAGGCACTCTCTGGCTCTTACTGGCTGGCTTATTGAAGACTGCGTTCTTGCTGAAACGGGGAGAGAAGATAAGTGTTGGATTACTTTGAAGATATTTCTCAACGGTGAGAAGATTGGACTGATTTATTGTAAGTGTACTGACATTGGCTATTCAACACGGACTTTGCAAATAGAGTATCCCTGACAAGACTTGACTGAAATTGATATATGACTACTGGACTGTTTACATGACTATGCTATAATTCTTAAATGGAATAAATTATAATTTTGATAGCACAAGCGTATCTGTATTTTTACTGCGTGTTAACGAGAAGGCTTATCTCACACATTTACCTGTCTTCCTATCTGACTTCGCTGCACGTTCTGTTTAGTTTGTTTTCCTTAACACCCGTTGGGGAATCCAGGCTTAACAATCACTGCTCATTCTACTAGGAGTGCAGCAACTTCAGCAGCTTGGGCCACTCAAGTCCCAATAACTGAAATCTGTCGGACGGCGACTTGGTCTTCCCCTACACCTTTCCTTAGACATTATAAAATTGATGTGTTTGCCTCTGCGGAGGCCTCATTCGGCAGAAGGGTCCTGCAACGGGTTCACAGGGACCCTGAGGAGATTCCAGACCAGACGGATTCCCTCCTGTAGGACAGGCCAAGCTTTGGTATGTCCCACTACTGGATGCTCTGAGCAGCTCATAGGAGAAGGGACGTTGGTACTTACCTGATACGCCCGTTCTCTTTCAGCTGCGAAGAGCATCCAGCCCCACCCTTTTTTCCCATCTGGGGTCTTGTTTCGGCCAATGAACTTTTTAAGTTGTGAGGATGAGAGCACCTTTTTTCCTCTCGTTTTCGCCAAAACTGGGGAATGCTCTGGAGGAGTCACGTGGAGGAGGAGGAGTGTTCCTCAATTCAAGCTCAGCCTAAGAATGTGGAGGCTGAAGCACCTCCCACTATTGGATGCTCTTCACAGCTCAAAGAGAACGGGCGTATCAGGTAAATACCAATGCCCCTTTCCTTCTCACTTTTAGGGGTAACATGTGTCTTCCTCAATCTCAGGTCATCTACCAGAGACCTGGGAGTTTGAGAATTCTGCACAGTATCTTAGATATCCCCAAAAGGTAAAGATAAAGGTTCCCCTCACACATACATGCTAGTTGTTTCCAGCTCTAAGATAAAGGCGAAGAGCCTGTTAGGAATTGATAGTCACCTAACAGTTGGGTTGGAAATATATAAATCAGGATAGACATTTAATACTGTTAAGATATCTGAAACAAACAATGCATTATGCATTATATTTGGAGCCTAAGGATGAACTAAGTTTAACTGCATATGCCAATGCAAGTTTCACTACAGACATAAATTCACATAAATCTGTGTCAGGTACTGTAGTATTATTGGGAAAAGTGTTGATTGGATGGAGGTCTATTAGACAGAAATATCTAAGTTT